TAGCAGTACCAGTAGCAGTAGCAGTAGCACTAGCACTAGCACTAGCACTAGCACTAGCACTAGCACTAGCACTAGCACTAGCACTAGCACTAGCACTAGCACTAGCACTAGCACTAGCACTAGTAGTAGTAGTAGTAGTAGTAGTAGCAGCACTAGTAGTAGTAGTAGTAGTAGTAGTAGTAGTAGTGGTAGTAGTAGTAGTAGTAGTAGTAGTAGTGGTAAGAGTAAGAGTAGTAGTAGTAGTAGTAGTAGTAGTAGCAGCAGCACTAGTAGTAGTAGTAGTAGTAGTAATAATAATAATAATAATAACAATAGTAGGAGCAGCAGTCGTAGTAGTAGCCGTTGTCGTAGGAGTAGCGGTCGTCGTACTAGTACCTGAGACTAGGACTAGGACTAGATACTAGTTACTAGTGCTAGCAACTGGTATTCTACCGACTACTACTCCGGTTCCTCCTAAGGTCCCAAAGCCTGAACCCTCTCCCTTCGAGGCCACTGCGCTCCAACTCCTGCAGCAGCGACAATGCCGGCCAGGGCGTGCGCCTTTCTCTGCGACCCATGGAGTCGGAGCCCAAGCACCCTGAAGTAAGTAAGATTCCTTGCGCCAGAATAATAAGCCCCGCAAAATCGTAGAAATATTCAGTGAACCAGAATATGCATCAAAATGCACTAATGTCTCTACATGTGTCATACTGTGTGTAAGTATTAGAATAGAACTCAATAGAACAGAGCATACAATAATATAATGCATTATGATATACTATAATAATATAACACAATATAATACAATATTACACACTATAGTACAACATCATTCAATATAATATGATATAACAGAATATCATATAGTACAATATAATATGATACAGTAATATGTATATATATATATATGTATATCTATATATATATGTAAGTATATATGTTGAAGTATAATATAAAACAAAAAGCACAATACAATACAGTATAACACAATGTAGTATGTTATAGTACAATATGATATGATACAACACATTACAATACAGTGCAAGATTTATGCTTATATATACAAAAACACCTGGGGGAGAGAGAGAGAGAAGAGAGAAAAGAGAAAAGATAAGAGAGAAGAGAGGAGAGAGAAGCGAGAAGCGAAAAGAGAGAGAGACAGAGCGAGCGAGCGAGAGAGAGGGAGAGAGAGAGAGAGAGAGAGAGAGAGAGCGAGACGTGTATATATATATATATGCACACACACACACACGCACGCACATTTGTCTTCTTGCATTAAGTTTGTACATATTGATTGTCTTTTGCACGTATAGTTTCCGTGATGGAGTAATCCTTAATGAAGGGAAGCTGGGCTCTCTGGAGAGGTCTTTTATCCTGAACCCGCGGGAACTGCAGGAGACGTCCTGAAGTCTCCAGAACCGGCACATGCCCAATGACCTGTAAGGATTTAGGGGTTTAGGGTTTAGGGTTTCGGATTTGGGGTCTAGGGTTTTGGAGGGCTTTGCAGGGTCTTGCATGGACCCTATAGCTTTCGAGGGGTTTATAGGGCAATGAACTGCATGCATATGACAAAAGAGCTCGCAACAACAGGCAATGAGCTCTGAACCTTATTGTGAGTTTCGAAACTCTTAGCCGGTAAAACCCTGAACCCCACTCCCTGGCACAAAATGCTGAGGACAAAGGCATGAAATCGAGCGGCCAGCGCCGGCCGGCCTGGCGTTCGGGCATAACAACCCGTGAAGACCCAGAACACCTGAGCTTAGGAATGGTACAAAGAGCCCTCTATGTTTAGGGTTTAGGGGTTTAGGGTTTAGGGTTTAGGGTTTAGGGTTTAGGGTGGTTCCCCTCTACTTGGAGGATCATGGGACTTAGCAAATAAGGTCATAAGTCCCTTAATTGGGGTTATAAGTAGTTATAAGTATAGTCACCTTAGTTATAACCCTACTTACGAAGTCCCATGATCCTTTAAGTATGGTCCATGTGAAGTTTTCCCAGATTCGGCTACGCCTCGAAGAAAGTGCCTCGGATGATGATGACCACGACGAAGACTGGGTACTCAGTAGGCTCCAAAGGCCCTTTACGGCTTACAAAAAGGATCATGGGACTTAGTAAGTAGGGTTATAATTAGGATAAGTATACTTATAACCCCAATTAAGGGACTTATAACCTTACTTACTAAGTCCCATGATCCTCCAAGTACGGCTTAAGGTTCAGAGTGGCTTTCAGTTTGAGTCTAGGGTTCAAGCGTCAGGCTCAGACTCTTGGGAGGAAAGGATCAGGCAAATCAAACAAACTGTCAGCGGCAGTGCGCATAACCCGTGAAGTGCAACACAATAACCCTCCCGGTTCATTCACTATGGACCGGCTTCGAAATGTGCGATCTCCATGCTCGGTTTCGGGTCTAGGGTAACTGCCCTGAAAGACCAGATGACTATTTCGGGCTTTCCGAATATAGGGGACCCTAATATAGTACCCTAAATAGCAGGATCCTTATTATAAGGAGCCCAAAATAAGGTACCCCTTCTTTTCGGAAGCTCTCAAATGTGACCCTAAACCCTAAACCCTAAACCCTAAACCCTAAACCCTAAACCCTAAACCTTATAAGGTACCCTAATTTTCGGCTTCACTCCTGTGCTGCGGTCGACTGCATCAGAGCCCCGGAGAGGCTCACAGCACGGACCCACGTCGTCTCGGGGCTTCTGGCCACTTGCTCCTACTTCATCTCCAGGTTCTCTTTCCGTGAAGGGCGGGAATCCTCCACATTGCAGCTTAGTCTAGTTTAGTCTAGTTTAG